TGTGTGTGTGTGTGTGTGTGTGTGTGTGTGTGTGTGTGTATTGTGTGTATTGGTTTTAGGAAGGCAATTTATTAGCTGGCATAGCCACTGGACCCCAGCAGACTGTGCCTAAGGAGCTTTATTTGGACAATTAGTGTTTCACTGACATCTGCTTGCTGTATGTGTTTACTCCACATCTGCTTGCAGGAATGCCTTTGGTGTCCTAGTATTTCTGTCACTTGTCTCTACTTCTGTCTTCAGCCCTCTGGGAGAGCTCGCTGTGGACTGCCCGGGTGAACAGGGTACTTGGGGTAACTAGGGTAGCTGGGGTCACAGGTCAGAAAGCAGAGCTTCTCTTGAGCTGTGGAGGCATCGTTGTTTTCTACGAAAGGAATTCTAGGCGACCAGACAAACCCACATTGAAATGGAAGTATAATAACACATTCCAAAGTCAGAGTTACATGATCCCCTGTCAGGGAGGACGATTGGAAATCAGCACCGCCTTGTCACATAGGTGTGGATTCCGATGTGTTCCCACGGTCTCTAATCTTTGGTTCCGTGACAGAAAGTTATTATCATGGCTGTCAGACCAGGGCCCAGTCTCCTTTGTGGTTTCACCCAACAGTAGCAGGGCCCCAGGTGGTGGAACCCTGGCCCTGGTCTCTCGGTGTCTTATTTGGACACAGTAAGCTGGAGCTGGAGCTTGGGTTGGCTCCAGACCAGAGATCTAAGGGTCAAGGGGCCTCAAAGGCCACAGGCCACCTCTGTGAGATTCCTGTGGGTCTACGACGGCTGATGAAATGAAAGTCATTCACATAAGCCTGTTGTGAGGAGCCAGCCAAGGCTGGACTGAGAACAATCGCATAGTGTGCAGATTCTGTTTTGTTTTTTTTTTAAGATTTTATTTATTTATTTGTTAGAGAGAGAGAGCACAAGCAGGGGGAGCAGCAGAGGGAAAGGGAGAAGCAGGCTCCCCCTGAACAGAGAGCCCGATGCGAGACTCGATCCCAGGACCCTGAGATCATGACCTGAGCCGAAGGCAGATGCTTAACTGACTGAGCCACCCAGGCGCCCCATGTGCAGATTCTGTTTAATTGCATGGAAACTAATGCCTCTATCTTTCCGGAGTACATAATAGGAAAGCAGTCAGGAAAGCCTAAAGTGGTCCGATTGATTCTGGAAGACAGATGATGTGTCCTCAGTGTAAAGCGGGGGGCTGTGGAGAGAGCCTGGGCCCAAGCTCAGGTTCCCAGCCACACAGTGGCTTTGGACAAGTGGCACAGTTGTCTCAGGAGGGTTCGGGCCCCTCACCTCCATCTAATTAACACCTGGTGATTCTGTGACCTCAAACTAGTCAGTTCAGATGACTAGGAAGCCTTGCTCCAATGGGCTTCGCCATGAGTTGCCATGTCCTCCATCTTTGATCACTGGATCTCGGTGATGTAGACTTGGCCTAGAGAGCCATCACTTGGCAGGAGGCACACCTGGGCCAGGAGGCACCTAGCATCTGATACCTGAGAAGCTCTCCATGCAATAGAATCCAGACCCTCACCTCCCAGGAGCAGAGGGAGAGAGGAAGAAAGCTGACTAAGACTGTGGAATCCCCACCCACAGGGCACCAAGCCTCGGACTTTAGATCCACAACCCCTTCTCCCGTGCACTTAGCAGGTGTTAGTGTAATCCCTGCTCTGCACTGGGTGCTGGGGGATTGGTGAAGAACCAGACCGTTGGGCCCCTGCCCTCGTGGAGCTTGCATTCTACAAGGTGAGAAAGGACAAAATGTGCTCAGCGGTTTAGTGACATTCAAGATGCTATGAGACCTAATGACGGGGGACCTGGCCCAACCTGGGGCTGGGAGAATAGAGGTCTAGATGAAGGAGGAAGAAAGAACATTCCAGCAGAAGGAGCAGCATGTGCAAAAGTGCCAGGGTGTGAGGCCCCCATGAGGAATGGAGAGAGGCCGGTGTGGCCGGAAAACAGAAATTGAGGGATGAATGAATGTTTGGAGTTTAACTTGGGGAGGGTAGCAGGGGCTGGGTCCTAGCAAGCTTCATAGACTAGGGTCAGGTTCCAGTTCTGGCTAAGCCAAAAGAGGCCAACTGTCCTCAGGTGGTGGCTTCCCTTACTGGCTTAGCTTGAGCCTCTGTATCAGGGGTCAGCCAACTGTGGCCCTTGGGCCAGTTTTGTAAATCAAGTTTTATTAGAACACAGCACACCTGTATGTCCGGGGCTGCTTTCCTGCTAAAAGGCAGAGTTGAAGAGTTGCAACACATACTGTATGGCCCACAAAGCCTAAGATACTTACTATCTGGCCCTTTACAGAGGAAGTCCGCCAACTCCTGTTTTATATTTTGAGGGAGTTTCCTGGATCATTATTTCCCAAAGAGGGAGTACTAACCCCTCAGGGGGTACATAACTAAAAAATGGAGAGAGTAATAGTCCTTTCTGTTCAGGGTTAATGTAAGGATTAAACCTATGAAAGATTTAGACCAGGGGCGCCTGGGTGGCTCAGTCAGTGAAGCGTCTGCCTTTGGCTTAGGTCATGATCCCAGGATCCTGGGATCGAGTCGCGCATCGGGCTCCTTGCTCAGCAGGGAAACTGCTTTTCCCTCTGCCTGCCCCTCCCCCTGCTTGTGCTCTCTCTCTCTCTCTCTCTCTCTCTGATAAATAAATAAATAAAATCTTAAAAAAAAAGATTTAGACCAGAATATGTAGTACAAATTAGCATTGTTTCTATTTATATTATCATTATCATACAATCATTTGGATGTCGGAAAAACTACCAGAACTTTTATTTATATTTATTTTTTAATCTAAAGAAATAAAGCTTTGTTAACATCTACTGTTATTAGTACTTACATTCATATGTATATATATATATATTTTATATATAAGTTAATTTTTCATAATTTACTCCTAATAGCTAACAGTTTAATGAGCATTTACTATGTGTCAGTGAATGTTCCATGAGTGTTACAGGAATTAACTGTATACCAGGAAGATGCTGTTAGCCCCATTTTAGAGGTGGGGAAACTGGAGCACAGAGGGGTTATGTAACTTGCCAAAAACCACACAACCAATGAGTAGCAGATCAGAGTTTGCACTCGGGGCGTCCAGCTTCTGAGTCCCCCTGCTAGGTGTCCTCTCATGTACATACCTGTATTGACTATATATGCTCAAAACCCTTTTTTTTCTTCTTTACCCAATGAGAGTACAGGATCAGTTAGGTGAGGATGGTCTCAAAGATGCTGTCCAGGACTGGCATTCTGCATTAGCTGCCAGTTTGGGCAGACAGCTGTTTCTGGGGGACTTTGGATTGGCGAAGACTGACAGCTCTTCCCGGCTCCTGACTTGTCTTTTCGCCCACAGCCCACCCCGAGAGAGCCGCATTGCTCTTCGTGTCCAGTGTTTGCATCGGTCTGGCACTCACATTGTGCGCCTTGGTCATCCGAGTGTCCTGCACCAAGGACTTCAGGGAGCTGCAGCTGACGAGGGAGCACCTGGTGCCAGAAAGTGCCAAGGCTGAGGAAGACAGTGAGGATGAAGAGGGGGAGGAGGACTCCTCTGACTCCGATTTTCCAGGAGAACTGTCTGGGTTTTGTAGGACTTCGTATCCTGTCTACAGTTCCATAGAGGCCGCAGAGCTGGCAGAAAGGATTGAGCGCAGGGAGCAAATCATCCAGGAAATATGGATGAACAGTGGTTTGGACACTTCACTCCCAAGAAATATGGGCCAGTTCTACTGAGAAAGAGATGCGTCTTCGTGCGATCATACTTTCTGAAGAGGGAAGGATCCAAAATGCCCCTCCAGTTCTGTTTCACTTGTACCTTCTATGAAGGAGTATTTGTCAGGTCATCCAATACTGGTGAAGCCAGAAGCTATTAAAGGGACATTTCAAACTGTTTACAGCGCATTTCAAAATAAATTAGGAGGGAGGTCTTTGTTTTCTGTATTTATTTAAATTCATAACATAGAGTGCACATTTACCGAGTGCTTATAATGCCATGAGCTTCTCTAGCTGCTTTTCATGTATTAAGTCATTTAATCCCCACAACTGCTTCATGACATAGTGCTATGATCCCCATTTTACAGATTAAACAGGAGGTCCCCTACAACCATAAAAAAATTGAACTGATATCCAGGACGGCAAGGTTGAATCCATCCACTATGTGTTCACTGGTGGTGGATTTTAATCACTAACATTACTTGTTTAGAACAGGGGTCAGCAAAGTTTTTCTTTAAGGGCAAGATAATATTTTAGGCATTGTGGTTCATGCCATGACTACTCAACTCTGCCATTGTAGCTCACAGGTAGCCATCCATAGCTAATCCATCATGAATGAATGTAGCTGTGTTTCAATAAAGCTTTATTTATAGACACTGGAATTTTGAATTTGATTTCATTTTCACATGTCACATATTGTTCTTTGTTTTTTATCAATCACTTTAAAATATAAAAACCTCTCTTAACTCACAAAAACAGGGAGCAGGCATTTGCCTGATTTTGTAAACAAAGTATGGTCCACAAGGCCTAAAAGATTTACTCTCTTGCCCTTTAGAGAAAAAGTTTTCCAACTCCCGATTTAGAATTTAAAGCTGCAGAGCTTCTAGTGGTAAAAGTGACCAACTAGATCACCCAGCAATCCTTTGATCCAGTGGAGTTACCTTTTGAACCATTGCAGGGGAGAAGAAAAAAAAAAGGTAAGGACACAGATTCCTAATGGGAGATCTGGTGAGGGGTTCTTTGGACAGCTCCCCTGGTGGACAGGAGGCTTATAGCTGTGGAGTAGAATAAGATATTTTTTTCTTTTTTGTCCCAGTGGGACTCAGAGTATAAAAATGATGGTGTTATATCCATCTCATATATCCGCTATGAACGAGCTCTCTGACTTATCTTCCTTCTTCCAAAGGCCCCACCTCTAAATACCAACCCATTAGGCATTAGGATTTGACATATGAGTTTTGGGAGGATACATTTAGTCTACAGCAGAGTTGAAATTCCCATAATGTAAAATTAACCATTTTAAAGTGCACCATCCAGTGGCATTTGGCACGTTCACGATGTTGTGCAACCACCAACTCTAGTTCCAAAACAGTTTCAGCACCTGAAAATAAAACCCCCTACCCTAAGCCGTCACTCCTTGTTCTTCCCTCCCTCTAGCCCCCCAGTCATCTGCCTTTTGTCTGGATTTACCAATTCTGGAAAGTTCATCTAAATGGAATCACATAATATGTAGCCTTTTGTGACTGGCTTCTTTCACTTAGCACCATGTCTTCAAGGTTTGCCTATGTTGTAGTGTGTATCAGGGCTCCATGCTTTAATGGTGGAATAATATTCCATTGTATGAAGAGACCACATTCTGTTCATTCATTCGTCTGGTGGTGGACATCTGGGTTGTTTCCACCCTTGGCTACTGTGGCTACGCTGCTATAAACATCTGTGTGCCGTATTTTAACAGCAGTGAGACTGCTCACCAATTGATGACCAGAGACTTGTTGAGAAATCCCATGGTTTCCACTCAACAGAGCGAAGGGAGGGGGAAGATGAGTCAGAGTGACATCCCCTCTTTTACCCGCTACTTCTGCTGATTTCAAAATAAGCTTCCCTTACACTCACCCCCAAGAAGGTGGGAGGGTAGGGTTTTGGTCAAGAGGGTAGGTCATCCTATGCACAGGCTGGGATGATTTGAGCAGAGGCTAAAACTCCTTGGGATTTCCAGGTAATTGAGTCCTCTGTAATATAGGGTCCTGGGAGAGGTTGACGGGGCTGGGAATGACATGTCTTAAATCTGTCATTAGAAATCTCTTCTAGGTCATGGCGGAGAATGAAATGAACATACGGCCTCATTGTCTAACTTTTTTGTGAGGATTTTGTTTTGATCAAAGAGAACCCTTGTGCTTTCATTTCCCTGAGCCCAGCAAGGAGCACTTTGGTATTGTCCCAGCTCTTGGAGCAGCCTGTCCCCATTGTCTCTGTATCCAGCTTTCAAGCAGCACATCTTCTCTCACTCCCTGAACATAAATACTGTCCATCTGATGACCGTCTTCTTGGGGCTGTAGAGAACATGGCTGCTGATGGTTTTCACTTCACAAGTTGGAGAAAGAGCTTTGCCCACATGGACCTCAGTCATAAAGCTTGTGTTGAATGTAACAGTGAGTTTTCCCTTATCTGAGTCTTCCCCAACTCCCAGCCCCCACACACGTGCACACTCCTCCCAGGACCCCCGAGGAGGCACTGGAGGACAGGCCCGCCAAGGCGAGGCCCAGTCTTTGGTCTGTGCAAATGTAGTGAGCTATTTATTTGCATTTTCTGAGCCTCACAGAAGAATGCCATGTTCTTCTCATGGACAGAGCCTGAAGGATCCTGCTGAGAATGTGTTTGGATGGGCACCGAGCCCAGGGGAAGAGGACCAAACCAGATTTGGATGAAGGGTTGCTGATGGAGCGTGGTGGCTGGAGGAAGCTCCAGATTGCAAGTCCACCCAGGGAGTGTGGGGCACACACAGCTTTGTGCATCTCTGGGCAACAGACATCCCTCTGTTCCCAAGCTGTGAGGTCCCGGAAGTCCCATGACAAGAAGCCAGCCCTCCGTGGGAGGTTTGCACATGTCACTACCTCAGTTACTTGTTGCGAACACCGACTCTCCAGACATGAGCTGCCAGCTGGAAAATTCGGCCCTTCTGGATTCAGGGAGCTTGTTAGTGGGGCTGCTGGTATTTTGTAGATGCTGAGCATTCAGGGCCACTTTGGGGAGAAGCAGCACACACCCTGGCCCCAAGCAAGCACTGGGAAGTCCTGAAATCTGTCCCACGGCTGAGCCCACAAATGTGCAGTACACGAGACTGTGCCCCTCCCAGATCCCTGTACCAGGTGGCATCCACCCCAGTGGCTTGAGGGTGGCTGCAGACAGCCCACGGCCACCCTTTCCTGCAGAGAATCGACCCTCATCATTTTTGTCTTAGTCCACTCAGACTGCTATAACAAAATGCCAGAGATGGGCAGCTTAGAAACAACAGAAATGTCTTTCTCAGTGCTGGAGGCTGGAGGTCCAGGCTCTGGGTGCCAGCGTGGTTGGGTGAAGGCACGCTTCCTGGCTCACAGCCAGCACCTTCTCACCCGGTGGAAGGCACAGGAGAGCACTCTGGAGTCTCTTTCATAAGGGCATGAATCCCATTTACGAGAGCTCTATCCTCATGGCCTCATCACCACTCAAAGTCCTCACCTCCTAATTCTACCATATCTGGGGGTTAGGATTTCCGCATATGAATTTGGGGCAGGGGGACACAATCATTCTGAATGGAGTGATTTCTTACAAGTATTTCTCCTGAGAGCACTCCTTCAACAAATCACTCATGCAAGAATCTCCATCTCAGGAAGCTGATCCACCGTCTAGGGGGGCACTCTGTGGACCTGGGGGCACGTGCGGCTCCTATCGGCCCACACTGCAGGCATGATGTCACCCACAGCCTCAGCGGGAGCCAGACCCAAAGGACCATCAGGGACCCTTCCCCTGATCAGGTGGTGCTAGGAAAGGAGCCAGCCTCGTATCTGGTAAGTCTTGGAAGGAGGTGCCCACGGGAGCTCCCTTTCACTCTGCTTGTGGCCTTCTCTGTGGGTCTCCAGAGACCAGCTCCAGGTTACCTGGGGAACCAAGGCCTGAGGCTGAGTCCTCCCTGGCAGGTGGGGGAGCAGAGTGAGTGTTCCCTTCCACTCTCTCCCCAGGGCTGGAGCCAGTCCCCCCTACCCGCAGCCCACACTGCCTAGTGGGGACCTCCTGGAAAGCACCACTGCCCTGAAGCTTTCACCCCAACCCTGCTCCCACCCGGACACTGAAACACAGAGGCCAACCATAGTGGGCATGGCTCTGTCCCAGACTCAGGGGTCCCCTCCTGCCCTCCTGCCTCCCAGCTTCTACTCAGACTTGGTCCTAGTTTGATCTCAGGGTGACCTATCTGTGCCTCAGTTTCTTCATCCAAAAAATGGACATAATAACAATACCTCCTTCCTAGTGGTGTTGAGGGCAATCGTGCTTCACATCCAGGAAGAACAACAGAAAATGTAAGTTTTTATCATCAATTATTCTCCCTCCTGAGTGGCAGCCTCAAGCATGGCTAAGGCCGTGTCACTTAGCACTTAGGGGATCTGACAGAATTTAAGGGCAAAGTAAGAACAAGCTGTTGAGGGAGAGGACCAGGCAGCCCCCTTCAGCCCTGCTACCGAGAAGACTTTGTAGAGGAAGAATAATAGTCTGCAGGACTCGGAGGAATGTGTCTAGGCCAGACCTTCCTTGGATTCTTTGGCCAAGTCCACGGTGGAGGCTCCCATGCATGGACTTAAAAGGCCATGCCCAGTTCTGGCAGGGTAGTTATGAACCTGGAACTATGGTCATTTGGTTTTAAGAAGCTCATTGTAAGCCTGACCACCAGTGCAGAGTTGGCCAAACTCCATCCCAAGACTGGACGATAGCCCGGGAGATTAAATCCTAGATAAATACTCCAACTAAATGCCTTGTCGACTGGAAGCCATACTGGTCTATAGTTGGAAATAAGGCAAGAAAGATCCATGATAACATCAACCACATAAGAGAGAATTCAGGAAGCCAGCTAATAACCTGAGGTCACCACATCCTTTTTAGGAATTTCAAATCACCCTATACCTCCTCTGGGGGGTGGGTGCCATGCTGACTGCCCCGGGGAATGAATGAGCCAGTATCAAATCACAGATGTAGACACTCCAAGGCAGTGCTGTCCAGTATGGAGCCACTGGCCACATGTAGTTACCTAAATTTAAATTTGAATCAGTGATGAAAGATAAAAGTCAGCTTTTTGTCACACCAGTCACAATGTCAAGTGCTCAGGAGCCACGTGGCCCATGGCTACTGTCTTGGACAGTGTGGATGGTTCTGTCTGGTGATGTTGAGCTAGCAGGTCATTCAGACACACAGACACG